GAGAGGGTTATAGTGTGTGGGAGACATGACACGGTGTAAAGGTGTGACAGTATTAGGTTGAGTTAATGTAGTGTGGCTGGGTGAAGGGGGGGTGTGCAGTGGGGCGGGTGACTGTGTGAGGACTGTCAGTTTGTGGACAGATGACACTGTGTGACAGTGTGAGGGGGTGCATGTGGAGTGACAGTGTTTGGGAAGGTGACATTGTGTGGAAGGGTGACAATGTGCAGGAGGGTGACAGTGGGAGGGAGGAATTACACTGTGTGGTGAGGTGACAGGATTAGGAGTGGTTAATGTAAGTGTGGCTGGCTAAAGGGTGTTGATTGTGGGGGGTTGAGCTTGCTAAAGAACGGGAGCAGACACATCTGCACGGGGCTCCTCAATAATCCTGCACTTTCGGACATTTATCCCTAAAATCACCAACCATCAAACAGATGGACGCGCTGCTAACATCCCGGGAAACCTCCCAACCCGGACGGATGCCGTTTATATATGCTACGGAGCCGAGGAAATTGAAACACAAGGCTCCGGCCTACTACCGGCCTCCTCTGGCAGAGATCGAGGTGCTCCTAAGGAGATCCCCAACAACAGACCTCTGCAGCACAGTGGAGCACAACCAAACTACCGTACAGGGCGACACACTCACCATCGGGCGCCGTTCTCAAAGAACGCCGGCAAGTACAGTGACAGAAACAAGAGACATAGGAACCCTACTGCAGCGTCCGTCACAATCCAAGATGGTGCACGCAGAAGGCTACTTCAAATAGCCTCGAGGTAATGGCGGACCCACAAGTGCAGCCCAAGGTCCCAGACAGGACTTTTACCATATCAGCACCACAAGAAGGGCAAGAACTTGCCACCAAACAAGACATCCAGAAATTCCTGCTGGACATTAAGCAAATGCTAGCTGCTGATACAGCCGTGCTCAAGGAGGAGGTCAAAGCGGTAACAGACAGGGTCCGCGCCTCCGAAGAGGACATCTTGGATCTGCGCGGCAAAATGTCTCACCTACAAGACGCTCTCCAGAAGGTTGAATCCTCCCAACAAAACCTGCATGCACGCTTGGCGGTCATGGAGGACAGAAGCAGGCGGCACCACATCAAGGTGAGGGGCATACCTAACGGTGTTCCCGCGGAGGAGTTGCCACACTATCTGAGGCGCCTGATGGCCACTATTCTATCCCAGCACGCAGCCAGGAAACTGACCATAGATGGGACATATAGACTGCCGCAGCCCCCAAACGCACCCCCTAATGTCACCCGCGACGTCATAATTCGTTGCTCCTCACTACTAGATAAGAGAAGCATCATGACCGCGGTGCGCGATAAAACGCCATACCTGTTTGAGAATGCACATCTTACATTTTATCAGGACCTTACGAGGTCTACACTGCAGTGGCGGAAATCGCTCAGACCAATCACTGGCCGCTTGCGGGACTCCGGCCTGACCTACAGATGGGGACCCACAAGGACTCTGACTGTGACTCACCAGGGAGCTACCTACCAGCGGAGTGACTTACACATTATTGGTTGAGCTTTGTGTGTGTTGAGGAGATAGCAGAATATAAGGTGCTTCGCCTGGTGACACCTTGTATTAACGAGAATCTTAGTTACGCTGGAATCCTTACTAGAATTACATGTTTATCGGTAGTCAGCACAGTATACTTTATCATAACCTGAAATGCAAACCTGCGGTCTCTTCCACTGCCTGTTATGACTACTTAGACCAGCAGTTACTATATAAATTATAAGCCTCGCACTTATGCGTAGTCATGCATAACCAGGTTACTGTCTAGATGTTAAAGTAATGACACTCTACGTAATTATTAACCCCAAGCCACTGTCCTTAATCGACAAAGTATTGTAATGAGACAGATGTTGTTACTTATCAAAGGTTGCCTCTTTTTACAGAGGAGTGTGTATAACAAAAGTGCTCAAAAGAGTCAAAAAGTGATTTACAGGCAGCTCAATACACTAGTGTGGAAATATCCTCTATTCCACTGAATAAATTTAGTAGATATTGGTGCGGTGTAAGTGACAAGGACCTACACCTATAAGTGGAGCGCTCAAACACAGATAAATCTTACCAAAACGTAGTCTCATTCAATGGTAAAATATGGGGTACATGTCAAAATAAAATACAGAAAATACAATATAGTGTAGATGGTACTACAAAATGGCTTCACAGTGATTATAATAATTTCGTGTTGAATATTACATTCACATTTCAAGGAGCCTGTATATAGAAAACACTGGCTCCGTATAAAGGCTTGTGTGCTGTTATGGTAGCACCACCCTCCTACTTCGGCTTGAAGAATTTCTCGAGAACACGAAAAAAGAGAAGAAAGCAAACCAATGTGTAGACTTATGGTGATAAATGACACAGATATGTGTTCAATAAATGGGGTGCTCACCTGGTCCTGAGCCTACGAATCCCGGCTCTAGGTATGTGGATTTTGTGCCAATTTGAATGGGGATGGCACTACCCCTGTGAGGATTCCTTGGAGGCTCCAAAAAGAACTTGGATGAGGTATTAAATGAAAATGGTGAATTTATTAGTTTAAAATAAACATAAAAACAAAGATGATAAAAGTCCTCAAATAAAAGTCCTTTAAAAATGGCCAATACGCGTTTCACTCTCAAATAGAGCTTCTTCAGTCAGCAATATATTGTTTAGGGGTCCGTGCCTTATTTTAAAGACACAGAGGACCCTATTATGATTTTTGTACTCTTTGCCTCTAGCATTTTGTTCCATATATAGTGCCTTTTAGTTTATCGCATTAATAAAGTATTTATTATTTGGCACTTTAGGCAACTGCATGTGATTTACCACTCTGGCAACCCCCTTACCCTTAACTCCGTGTTTACTTTCCGATCAGTCACAGTCTATACTATTATTATTACTACCATTTTCCCCTGACTCTGTATCAAAACCAGGGCTAGATTAAGAGCCCAGTGGGCCTGGTGCTGACAATTAGATGGGCCTAATTACAAAATGGGATTGACCAAAAACACCAAAACAGTCCTACCTCCTAAGCATCATGTATCTGATGGTACTGGAGGGAAACTCATAGGATGCAGCTATAATAAAACACATACCCTATGCTAATCTCACGCTTTCATCTTTCAAGTAAACCCATCCATGGAAGTCTATGGATGGGGTAAAAGGTTGGGCCACTGACACAAATCACATAACCAGAACTGCCGAAAGGGGCGAACATACACACAAAGGGGAGAACATACAAAAAGGGGGCATGTCTGTGTACCCATGTCTCCCAGTCGCTTAGTGTCTGTGTCCCCATGTCACTAGGGGACATTGAGAGACATTGGGACACTGGGAGACATGGGAAAACTGAGATACTAGGGAACACTGGGAGACAAGGGGACACTGGGTGACTTTGAGACATGAGGGGACACTGGGAGACATAGGGCACTGAGACACTGTGATACATAGGGGACACTTATATATAGGGGACACTGGAGACTTGATAATAACCTGGGTACAGGTCGAAATGTTGCAGTGTCCAATAAACCTGCTTAAATCTATCACAGTGAGTGCCTGAGATTTTTTTCTTTTATACTAGGGGACACTGAGACACTTGGGGGCACTGGGAGACATGGGGACACTGGGAGACTGGGGGATTCTGAGAGACTAGGGGACACTGAGACACTATGGACACTGAGAGACACTGGGATACATGGGGCACTGAGACACTCTGATACATAGGGGACACTGTGATACATAGGGGACACTGGGATACATAGGGGACACTGGAGACTTGATAAAGACCTGGGTACAGGTCAAAATGTTGCGGTGTCCAATAAACCTGCTTAAATCTATTACAGTGAGAGCCTGAGATTTTTTCTTTTATAATAGGGGACACTGAGACACTAGGGGACTTGGGGACACTGAGATACATTGGGAGACTAGGGGACTTTGGGAGACTAGGAAACACTGAGACACTAGGGACAGCGACACACTACGGACACTGAGAGACACGAGGGACACTGGGAGACATGGGGATATTGAGATACTAGGGGCACTGGCTGGGAGACATGGGGACACTGGGAATGCCCCATATCTTCCAAGTCTCAAAGTCGATCAGTGTCCCCATGTCTCCCTGTGTCCCCCAGTGTTTACATGTTTCCCAGTGTCCATTAGAGTCTGTGTCCCCATGTCTCCCAGTGTCCCGATGTCACTAGGCCACTAGGGGACACTTAGAGACATTGGGACACTGTAAGACTTGGGGACACTGAGACACTAGGAGAGACATGGTGACACTGAGATGCATGGGGACACTGAAAAACTAGGGCACTCTGGGAGACTAGGGACACTGAGAGACATGGTGACACTGAGAGACACCAGGGACACTGGGAGACACAGGGACACTGAGACACTAGGTACACTGGCTGGGAGACATGGAGACACTGAGAGACTAGGGGCCACTTGGAGACATGTGGCCACTGTGTCTCTAATGTCTCAGGGTCCCCATGTTCCCCAGTGTCCCTATGTCTCCCAGTGTCCCAATGTCTCAGCGTCCCCAAGTCTCTCACCGTCCACGTGTCTCGCAGGCTCGAAACTGCTATGTGTACTCTCTGTGCAGAGCTGCTCCCCCGCGGATCAGTAAGTAGAGAAAGGCAGGGAGGGAGATGCTGTAACTTCTTATCCCTGCCTCTCTCCACACAAACAGCGACCCCTACTGGCTGGCACTGGTATTGCAGAATAATCTCTGTTTAAACTGAGACGGACATTTGAATTGCCGGTATTACTGCAATACCGGCACCAGCAAGGCAGCCTCAAATACCTGAGAAATACTTCTGAGAAATACCTGGCACCCATAAGAAATACATGAGAAATACCTGGCAACCGTAAGAGTAGTGTGTAAAAAAAAATAAAAAAAATCAATGGGCCTATCCCATGGGCCTGGGCCTGCAGCTCCATCAGCCCCTATGTTAATCCGGCCCTGATCAAAACCAGTTTTGAGTCTCACTACCATCTGAGACTCTATTTATTTATTTATTTTTTTCTATTGTGTGGGGAGCCTGTGCTTTAGTGACCAGCCTCCCCATACTGAAATACCTGTTCTTAAAAAAAGAAAGAAAAACAAGTAATCAATTCCCTGGTGGTCTGGTGCAGAGCTACAGATCATGTGATTTTTGAAGCATTTGATGTGACAAAGCGTGAGAAAGCGTTGCTGTGATAATCCACGGCAAAACTCTGATTGGCTGAGCTTGTGGTTCCTCAGGCCAGAAGCGCTGTGTTCTCCCCCTGGTGCAGACTGAGTGGAGGAGCCCTTTACACAGCGGCATACAGAGCAAGCCTGCCAGGCCTCCTCCCAGTGTCTGGCCCTTGGTCACTGACCAAGGCCCCGACGGATGAATCTGCCCTAAGGCAAGTTAGGGTCTGCAAAGCCCCAGTCAGGATCAGGCCTTAGAAGGCCACCTAACTAGCATAATTAGAAAGCCACCTCTAAACCAAATGGATACCATCATCATTACATGATGCTTGTTTTCTTCATATTCCCACTTACATATGGCCCAAGTACTACGGAGAAATTGATGCCACTAGAGAAGTCTGCTACAGTGGTATTTCATTGATGCTGTGGTGAATAAAATCATTCTTAACTATGATATTTTTTCAAAAGAGATTAGGGATTATTTACTAAAGTGTAAATTTAAAATGAATTAAAAATTTTTTAAAAATTGTAAGTCAAAATAGCTGAACTGGAAAATATTTAAAGTCCAGCTACTGTTGCCTTATATTTTAA